GTAAGGCCAGGAGCCCCTAGTAGCGTCCTTGCTCCTAGTAGCGATGCTCTTTGCTCCTAGTAGCTTCCTATGTACCTACTCCGTTCCAAATGTCACTTCGCTTGACCCATGGAACCTTCGACCTCGTTCCATGCGTTGAGGTCTTCCTGAGTTGCAGGCGAGGCCGGCACCTCTGTGACGGAACCTCAGCCCACCAAGGTGCAAGCGTGTGGAGGCACAAAAGCATGCATCTGTATGGGCTTCAAGGGTATGCCGAAACAGGCATGCCAACAACGAAAGCACAGTGCTGTTTCAGCACGAGTTTTTGCTATAGATGGCAACAGGCAACAGGTTCACACTTGCGATGCCAACAATGACTCTAGAAAACGCACAGCTGAGCTTCGTTCTCAGGGTGTGGTGAAGAATTGGCAAGCCAAAGGCCAACGTCTTGCCACTCCTGGACAAACAAAATCAAAGTGCTTGTCTTGCCTTTGCAAAATCAGTGCCTTCATCATTTGGTCCAGTTCCCCACTCCCAGCTCTCCCTGTTTCAGCAGCGCCCACGACATCTTTTCGCTGACGTAGGGCTGGTAGCAAGCAGCGCGCCTAACAGAATCATTCAAGGGTTCTTTTTGGAGAAGCTCAGGCGGTTGCAAAGCCCTTTCTGAAGTGCAGGGACTCTTTTGGCATGAGAAGCAAGCCATAGAGGGCAGGCAACAGAGAAAGCCAGGTGTTTCTGGCCACCCATCACCCAACTTCCCATTTTAAAAAGTGCCAAGAACTCTATATGTGACTATGTACGGCACGCGTTTGCAAGCCGCCTTAACAGGATTCCAAGAACTCCTAGCCCCCAGCGAAAGAACACAACTTCAAACATACACAGTTTATCACAGCTGTGCTTTTTGTATTTGGTTTGAACCTGTCAAAACAGTGCCTCACAATTTGACCTGTCAAGAGAACGTAGGAGTGTCAGCGCAGTAACACAGAGTCATCAAGCAGGGAAAGTGGACGATAAAGCCTGGAAGGTCAACCAGGCTCAGTCAGACAATCTGCTTCCGACGGACTCCCTTCTTGCAGTACTTGGACTGTGGACATCTGACCTCTTTGCAGTGACCAGCTGCTTAATCTCCTTGGTGTTGGGAGACAGGTCGATAGAATTACAGTACGTACATCTTGTGAGCGACGCATTGTCAGGGTGTTTCAAGCACGAAGTTTCATCTTCCGGCAGCAACTTGGCTACACATGTGTTCCTGTTCCAATACCAACAAATATAAGTAAATTAACCAACGTCTACCGTTCTTGGATCTCCAAGCCCTGGGCTACAGCTGGCAGAGTCAACCACTTCCTTGGATCTTCTTGACATTTTTTTCAAAGATGTTGACGTGTCTTCTTCAGAAACGTGTTTCTGCAGCAAGGACACTTTTGCCTTGGATGTGTTGCCTTCGGCAATCCTGAGGCCAACATCAACAGCAAGGAACATGTTTCAACTTACTGGTTCAGACCATCTCGAACATGTACAGTATGATCCTTAAAGGAAGCAACAATCCTTGAAGATCAAAGCAATTGAGCCGAGTAGCGTGTCATGAAGCATCCGATTGAGCCGACTCTGCATGCTCAGACGTCTTTCAAAAAGCTGATTGGAAGCACGGCTGGAGGCAAGCTGACCTTTGACGTGGTGCGTTCACAAACTGATCCTAAACATACATGTTACATGTACATTATCATGTGCAACCAAAGAACTCTCCAGCTGGGCAATGTCAATGTCTCGTTGGACCTGGGATGTGTTGAAGCTAGCATTGGATGAGGAGAGTACTTCGGAGTGGTCTTCCAAAGACAGGTCACACTTTTGAATGTTTGAACGGAGAATTTAGGCTCACAAACGTATTGACCCCAAGTCACAGTCCCAAAGGTGATAGGCACACTTTTAGCTCACGCTTGAAGTAAGCAAGTAAGCCCAAATGAACACAAACGGCTGCAGTGAAACATACATCTATACACAGCTATGGCATGTACATGTAACTGGTGCTACATCTGATCACGCCTCCGAGTTTAACGTCTCTCAGAACTTAAGCGAGTCAGGGTTAGCACATGAGTGAATTAGCTGGTAGCCCTTCAGTACATCTTGGTCTTGAAGAAGTACCTGCTCTAGCTCAATTCAAGCTCTCAGTGTTAGTTCATGCTCACCTTCCAGGTAGTGGAAGTTCATGCCTGTCACGGCTGTGTTCATTTTCTCCTCGGTGACAGCTTTCGTCGGCCACCATTCGGTCGGCGCCTTCTTTCTTGAGACGAAACTCTTTCTTTGCTGTACGCTCTTGCACCCAGTGGTACTGAGCGTCAACATGTTTGGCTCGCCCCAAACCTCGACGGTTTCCCATGGCGATGCCAGCGGAAGCGTCCATTGTCACCTCTTTGCTGGGAAACAATCCCCCATCTTTGGCAGTTGATGCAATTCCAAGCGTCTGACATGCTCCAGAAACAAGTCCATGATACTCGGATTCACCACTGCTAAGGGAGACAACTCCTTGGCCTTTGCTGTAGGTAGTAAGACAGCATTTGTTGGCCATGAGCACCCCTCCTGACACACTCTTTCGTGTCCTTACGGAACCTGCATGGTCGGCGTCTGACCGCATGTTGAAGGGGTTGCAGGGTGCTTTGATTTGGAATCAGCCGTGCAACTCTTGGTCGATACCTGACATATCTTGCCAATCGCTTCAGCGTGTTCCAGTGCCTTGATGTTGGATTCTGTAGACCTTGTGCCAACAAGCGCGTTGCAGTTTGCAGATCAGGTCGATCTTGTGCCAAATACGCGGCTCTCATAGCAATAGATCTGTTTCGGCGCTCAACGGAACTTCTTCGCGTTGGCGTTCCTCTTGACTTGGCTTCGCCAATGGTGTCTTGACCTTGCCTGGTTGACCAATGCCTAACCACTTGATGATCAACTCTGCATGTCGTGGATCTGGTTCCCACCCAACGCCTTCGTTTGACCAAGTGACGATGCGATTCAACACCCTGATCTGTTGACTGGTGTTTGGTGATCCGGGTGGACTGAGAATGCCTCGTTCCACAACTTGCCATTCTTTGGCTGCTGAGGTATGAAACCATTTGGTGTCTTCAAAACTTCCTACTGTCGTGAAATCATCTCCATGTGCTTCTGTTCGGAGTTCTCTAGCTGGATGGTAGTAAATACATGGATTCGACTTACCTTGCGGAAATCCTAACTTCTTCATGAACTCTGCGATGGTCAGTTCCCAGTTCATGGGTGCATCTCTGGTGCCATACAGTCTTCCAACAACATCTCTATCCTCTGGCTTCTTGCCTTCAGATGGAATCTCAACATAAAGTTCTCTTGCTGTCTTGGAGTAGAAATGAGCTCCTTTCACGTCTAAAAATCCTAGGAAAGATTGCCTTGTCTTTCTTCTCTCGCCTTTCTCCAATGGAAGGCTGTCGCTGACTGCAATGGTGAGCAGTAGCTTCAAAGCTGCTAAGCTCAGCATGGCTGCGAAAAATTCGTCAAGACCTGAGCCTCTTTTGATTTCTTGCGCAACCAATCGTCTTCTGTAGAGAGTTCACATCTACCCATCGAGTTCCAATGATTTTGGTTCCTTTTGGAACTTGGCTTCTTGGGATTTTCTCCCAAACTCCCATAGACTCAGGTAAGAGTTCTTTTCCACTGATGTCATCATAGTACCACCAGTCTTTTGCCTCTTCTGCCATTTCTTCTGGCAGTGGGTTCTTCCCTTCACACACTGGTTTCTCTGGGTCGATGCTAGATAGCACTCTTTCTCTGTCTTCTAGGATTAGGCTTTCTAGAGCCAACTCAATACTTTGGACGTCTCTTGTTCTCTCGGCTTCATCTTCATGTTCTCCTTCTGCTTTTCTCTTCTTGTCTCTATCTACTCTGGCATTTTGCTGTTGGTGATCCTGCTGATTCATGTTGTTCTTCATGTTATCTCTCTTTTCTCCATGTGGTTCAGGTTCGCGTGGTCTGCGAATTCGTGACGCTGACGCTGACGCTGTGCCTGGTGTTGGTGGTGCTGCGGCTGGTTCGTAACACAGTTCTGTCACTATGTCCATCTTGTGAGGTAATGCTGCATTAAGTATCTCTGGTGGAAGGTCAGTTGTCATGACTCCACTTTCAATGATTGCATTGTTTGCATGGTTTCTTGTGACTCGATGCCAAACGGTGGACCAGTCAGGTCCTCCTGGCATTATGGTTTTGAAAACAATGAGGGTCGACGTCGAGTCATGCGAATACCCGACATGAATCGGGAACCCCCGATGGTCTCTTGCTGTCATATCCATGAAGGATTTGAGGTCTCTTGCCACTAACTGGCTGTGGCATGCCAGTGACTGCTTCTCCTACTTTACTCTCATGTCTTGCTACTCTTCAATTCTCTTCTTCTTCACCTCTGATGTGCTCTTCAAGTCTGTCTTGACACCTGTTGGTGTGCTGGATGCCTGAAGTTCTTTTGCCAATCTGTGTGGCATCACAAGCTGGGCAACCTGCTGTATACCCATACTTCTCCAGGTCTTTCTTGGCGACGTAAAGCCTTTTCAGCTTTCTTTTCTTGTCATCGATTACCAATTGGACTGGCAATGATTGGTTCCCTTGGGGCTGCAATCGCTGGTTCTTCGCAAATTGCTTGAGGGTCCCAGGGAATGCCAGTGATCGACTTCAACAATGCTGAGTCACATCGATCTTCTTCGGGCTTTCTTCGGATTGACTGCACTGTGTAAACTCCAGTGGCTGCGCCTACTATTTTCTCTGCGGCGCTGTCTTTCACTCCTACAAATATGCCTTGGGTCCATTGAGCCTCGAACTTGTGACCTCTCTTGAGGTAGTCGACGGCTTCAGCAAAGGGTTGAATGGCTACCTTCCATTCACGTACACGAAGTCTTGAGTATGGCGTCTTTCCGTCTTGGAGTTCAGTCGATCGGAAAAACAAGTTGTAGACCGTGGACGCATGTTCAACCAACCATGTCAAAACAGGTGAATCGTCTGGAAGCTTTTCACCATGGTTCGACTCGAGCGCGGCTCGAAGAGTCCTTTTGCTTGTCCTTCCAAGGTTTGAACTGCTCGTTCAATTTCTCCCTTGGGTTCTTTGACTCCTTTCGGTCTTCTCGATGATGAAGGTTCCTTCAAAACCGTTCTTTACTGCCTCAACGACGGATGTGAGAGCAGGTTCGGGATCATGTCGAATGATCAGTTTGGAAGACCCTAGTTTCTTGATGTCATTCAGGAGTACCTTGGATCCATATGGTCCTTTGGTCACACCCTTCTAGGGTAACATGTGGGCAAAAAGATGTTTCGTCCATCGATCTCTGACAACTAAGATTGGGGCGTGTGTTTTCTCGTCCATGACTACGTCATCAGTTCGCGAATTCATGAAACAGTCATCTACAGTCACTACTGGTGTGGTTTCATCTGAACGATCCACCCGCTTGTGTGGATTGGCTGTGGCCTTACCTCTAATGCAGGCCTCACACCACGAACGAGAAGGAAAATGTGAAACTGAATGTTCCTCGAGCTCTTTTCGCGTTGGGCGAACTGGAGCGTTGATCTTGAGTCCAGGTGGAAGTTCACCTGCCTCAGCGGCTTCAAATTCTGCCGGGGCCTCGTCGTCCATGACCGGACTTACCCACATCGGTGCCGGGTGAAATGGTGGAACACGATCGGCGCGGAGTAAACTCCGTTGCAAAAGGAAATTGGAATTTTCTTCCCATCTCTAGCAATGTGTCCTCCAGTCTTGCTCATCTGGATGGACCAAACCTTGTCTGCGAGGGCCCCTGCAGAGAGTAATGGCTTGGAGACTGCCATCACTCGAAAGCTGCACTGTCCCGTCAGGGCTCCATTGCCGATCCCAATCGCCACCTTGGCGTTGATCTTGCCAAGATCTTTCACTGTCTCGCACGACACTGTCTTGTAGATCTTCGAATTGGTGGCTTCAGGCAAAACAGGCTTGTAGCCCAATGCAGCGGCGAGTTCGACTGGGATGCAGGAGGTGTTGCTGAATCCAAATTCGTCACCTGATGAGCCATGGGCGTCTCCATGGATGCCAGCTCCAAACTCTTGAGAGCCAGTGGATCTTCGTCACCTTCACTTGGCTCACTTGTCGGTGTTGGATACCGCTTTCCTTTTCCTTTCTGGGTCTCACGAGCGGCATCTCTTGTTGCCACATTGACAGCTCGAGTCAGCTATACCTTCTGACCCATATCGTCCTCCTCTTCCTGATCGTCCATCATCTTCTGCATGTGGGCCGTCATGTAGAAAGGAGGTTCTTTCTTGACGCTTTCCCACTTTGGCTCCTACATTCTCAAGTGTTCTGCCACTTCTTCAGGCTTCAGAGCCATCTCGGCGTCTTTCACAGCCTCACGGTCCCTTTGCCGTCTTGATTTGCTTTTGCTTGAGGGACCATTCCTTAGCCCATTGACCAAGAACCTTTGGTGGGCAACGATTCAGAGCCACATGGTGATTCCATAGCCCTGTATCGTTGTCGCACTTCAATGCCTTGTTGCAGGCGTGGCAAACCATGTGCTTGCGGCCGTCCTCGGCCTTGTGGCACGGGATCATCTTCTGGCTCCTTTTCCTCCTCTTGTTCATCAGCTTCATCTTCAGCTGGCTCAGTCTCATCTTCCTCAACTTCATCTTCAAACTCTGCACCGTCAAGTCCCTCGATCTTAGTCACCTCAAGGGGATTGATGGTCTCCATGACTGGTGCTGTAAAGGATGGCGCACTGGTTGCTCCTTCACCACGGCGAACGCTGCGCTTCATC